CAAGCTCTTACTTTACTTTTCTGTAAAAGTTACGAGAGTCCGACTCATAGCCTTTATACAAGACTATAGTTGCTCCGCGTCGTGCGCAATTACGCAGATCGTGCGATTCAATTGAGCTCCGACAAAAATGCCGAATTACAGTGTATTTTCATGCAAAAAAATTGAACCATCAAATCAATAAAAGGACAACGTGACTTTTCATCTGTGAATACTTTTAATATAATATTATAGGTACTTAAAACTCGTATTTTCTTAAAATGCTAAATATTAACGAAAATTTATTTCATATCAACTAAATCAGTTTGCGATGAGTAGTAATAATTACATTAAGATGTGTAGTGGATTTTGTAAAATGATTTATATATTTAGCTCAATCCCAACACGATTCTGAATATATTATAATTTTATATAATCGGTAACTAATCTTTATCAAAATATACAAAATAAAGGCCGAATAAGTCAAATCGAAAGTTGCCACTTCGTAGCAAATGTATGCCATTTTTGTAAAATTTAACTGGTATCACTGCAACCGAAAGTACTGCAATGTTTGGCCTAAAGGTCTAGAAACCAGGCCATAAACTTCAAAAAAAAGTACTGCAATGTCGTAGACTACGTTATAAAGGGATATGGAGACTCGAGCGTAGCGATAAAGTTTTATTTAGCTTGCGTGCGCGATTTATCTAATTATAGTCAACCAAAACCAAGAAATATATTTTGAAAGCTGTCAGACTTATTGCACCAAACGTGCCAACCAAAAAATAGGAACGTACAATATTCGATTTATGGAGTGTCGAAGTAAAGAGTACATACTCTGTATAAAAAAGTTTCCGTAGGAAAGCGTTAAATAAGGGTGGCGCCACTGTAGCTACAGTCTAAATTTTAAAACAATTTTTATAATTTTTTATTGCACAGACTTTCACCATAATTCTTTTTACAACAATTATTTTATTGCTGTCAAATTTTTATTTTCAAAATCACTCTCAACGTATTTTACGGCAATTTGACATAACGCGTAGCTACTCGAGCGCTGTAGTGGAGAGTTTTTGAACTGTTACTTACTGCTTACAGACGGACACTTTTTCAACTATTCTCCTGTGGGAGCTGGTACTCCTTATTGAAATAATACTAGTTTTTACGGAATTTATCGCGTGTATTTAACTTTTTAAATACCCGACGTTTCGAACGCTTTACAGCACTCATGGTCACGGGCAGGACTGAGATGTTCAACGTCCATATGTCATAGTTAACCGCGGTTACCATAGATTAAAATTTAACTTCTCGAAGTCTTGCAGTTGTATGCTTAGGTTGGGATTTAATCTTATTTATTATAGGATCCCAAGCAGATGGTAGCACCCAGCCATCCTCTCTATTGAAATTAGGATGTTTTTTGATTTCAATAGCCTCGCGAATCATCCTTGGAAGGAATCGGTGTTCTTTAGCGAGGATCTGCGGGCTATCAAATCTGATGTAGTGACGGGGGCGATCCTGTACGTGTTCACAGACTGCAGACTTCCCGGAGCGTCGATTCTTCACATCAGCTATATGTTCTTTAACGCGGGTTTTTATTGATCTTTTAGTTTGTCCTATGTAGGAGGGACCACATTCACAATCAAGCTTGTACACTCCTGCATCTTGCAGAGGGACATTACACTTGACCGATGGTAAAAACTGACCAATCTTCTTCAGCGGCTTGAAGTATGTTTTGATGGAAGCGCGCTTCAAGATGTAGCCAATCTTGTCAGTGACTCCTCTAACATATGGCAGTACAGCAGGTACACGCTCGACTGTGGCCGGCTTCACTCGTTCACTGTGACGTAGGCGCGGGACTCGAAGCTTGTTGTCATGCAAAACTTGCTTGACATGGTGGAGCTCTGCAGCCAGGTGTTTACTGTCACAGATCCCTCGTGCTCTCTGAAACAAAGATTTACCCACGGTAGCTAACTGTGAAGGATGGTGGTGAGTAAAAAGTCGATACTGGTTAATTTTTTAATATTTTGCTTTGTTTGAAAGATTCAAATTTAAATTAGTGATAAAAATTATACACGTTGTAATGAAATATAGATAACTTCATAATTCTTCGAATTTACATAAATAGCTTTTTTTTTAAATCGTGGGAGTACGCTTGTGCAAAGTTATTGCCCAATAATTAATATGAAACGTCAAAAGGCATTTCAGATTGGTGGACTATAATAATAATTATGTAGGCTATTGTACATTGGCAAGCAGTCAACATCATGATATCAAAGGAGTTCAACTTCTGTATAAAAAAGTGTCCGTAGAAAAGCGCTAAATAAGGGTGGAGCCATTGTAGCTACACAGTAAAATTTAAAGAACTTTTTATAATTTTTTTATTTCACAGACTTTCACCATAATTCTTTTAATAATAAGTAATTATTTAATTGTTTACAAAATTTTTATTTTCAAAATCACTTTCAACGTATTTTACCGCAATTTAACATACACCGTAGCTATGGAGTTTAGAGAAATGGAGAACAAATTCTGTATAGAAAAGTGTCCGTAGAACAGCGCTAAATAAGGGTGGAGCCACTGTAGCTACAGAGTAAAATTCAAAGAACTTTTATAATTTTTTATTACACAGACTTTCACCATAATTCTAGAATTTCGCAATGTGCCATATTAGCATATTCTAGAAAATTTTGTGAATAAAGCTCGAATTAGACTAGACTCTAATTCTAAAAATATTTTCACTAAAAATGACACGTTGCGGATTCTGTCGCTGATGTGGTACTTCATGGTATGGAACCTTTTATTTCTTCCTCTGTGGTGCCCATTGCAGGCAAATCTCAGCCATGGTTTGGTCGCTCCTGTAAAAAAGCATCATGCTATAAGCAGGAGTGCTACCGAGCCTGGGCTGATGCATCAGCGTCCCGGGATGTAAACACCAGCGCTATAAAAAGAAGTATAATTCCGCCTCTAGGTCCTTCAAAAGAGTCATTGCCAAGGCAAAGTCAGAGCACATAGGCAGAATTGGCGAGAAGCTAGTTCGCCTTCCTTCTGGAACCCGTGCATTCTTCTGGTCTCTCGCCAAGACTGTCCAGGGGAGTTTCTGTCAGCCGTCTGTTCCATCTCTGCACAGGGAGGACGACTCACTGGTCCATACCGCAAAGGAGAAAGCCGATCTTCTAGGCTCTTTCTTTGCGTCCAAATCGACTCTTGATGACGGGGGGAGTACGCCGCCGACCATCCCGCTTTATCAGTGCTCCATGCCTGAAGTGCAGTACACACAGCGCTCGGTTCGCAAAGCACTCCTCTCCCTGGACATCCACAAGTCGAGTGGGCCTGACGGAATCCCCCCAATTGTGCTGGGGACGTGTTCTCCAGAGTTGGGCCCTAGGCGTAGTCCCAAAATCGTGGAAGACGGCTTTCGTCCACCCGATCCCTAAAAAAAGCGACCGCTCAGACCCATCCAACTACCGACCTATCGCCATCACCGCCTTGTTCTCCAAAACAATGGAGTCTATTGTAAACTGCCAGCTAATGAGGTACCTTGAGGATCACCAGCTGATAAGTGACCGCCAATACGGTTTTCGCCGTGGTCGGTCAGCTGGTGATCTTCTGGTCTACCTAACTCATAGATAGGCGGAGGCAGTAGAGTCCAAGGGGGAGGCATTGGCCGTTAGTTTGGACATTGCGAAGGCCTTCGATCGGGTTTGGCACAAAGCGCTTCGTTCGAAGCTGCCTTCCTATGGGCTTCCCGAGAAATTGTGCGATTGGATCACCAGCTTTCTTGCAGATCGGAGCATCATGGTCGTTGTAGACGGTGCAAGCTCCGATTGCAAGCCTATTAATGCTAGTGTTCCACAAGGCTGCGTGCCATCGCTAACGCTGTTTCTTCTGCATATCAATGATATGTTGCAAACCCGTAACGTTCATTGCTATGCAGATGACAGCACTGGTGATGCTCTTTACACCGGCCGAGTCAATATTTCTCGGGAAAACGTCTCCGAGTGCCGGGACAAACTTGTGTCTGAAGTCGAGTCTTTGCTGAACAAAGTCTCGGATTGGGGGCGACTAAATCTAGTCCAGTTTAACCCCCGAAGACACAAGTTTGCGCGTTAACCGCTAAAAAGAACCCCTTTGTCGTATCTCCTCAGTTTCAAGGCATTCCCCTTGTTGCCTCAGCCAGTATCGGAATCCTCGGCGTCGACATATCGAGTGACGTGCAGTTTCGTGGTCACTTGGAAGAGAAGGCCAAATTGGCCTCTAAAAAGCTTGGCGTGCTCAGCAGAGCGGGACAGTATTTCATGCCGGCATACCGCCTGCGACTTTACAAGGCGCAAGTTCGGCCGCACATGGAATACTGTTCCCATCTCTGGGCTGGGTCTCCCCAGTACCAGCTCCTTCCACTTGACCGCATCCAGCGCAGAGCGGCTCGAATCGTCAATGACCGAGTGCTTTCCGATGGCTTGATTCACTGGCACTGCGAAGAGATGTTGCATCTCTTTGCATTTTATTTCGCATATACCATGAAGAGTGCTCTGAGGAATTGTTCGGATTAATCTCAGCCGCTAAATTTCGTGAACGCACCACGCGGCAAACGTCCCGATACCATCCACACCATCTAGATGATTGGCGGTCCACCACAGTACGTTTCAAAAGGAGTTTTCTTCCGCGTACAACCTCTCTGTGGAATAGTTTACCACCGGCGATTTTTCCGGACCGATACGACCTGGGGACCTTCAAGAAAAGAGCTTACTCCTTTGGGCCGGCAACGCACCTGCAATTCCCCTGGTGTTGCGGTTGATCATGGGCGGCGGTAGTCACTTAACATCAGGTGAGCCGCATGCTCGTTTGCCCCCTCTTCTATAAAAAAAAGACTGTATGATCTACGACCTTTTCCTGGGTTATTTTGCAAGTTGTAATAACAACAACTACTATGGTTTGAGATTTGACAAATGCATCTGGACTGGAATATGGTGTGTTCGTATGGGTTTATTATTTATTAAGTTTTCATGTAATAATTACTTATAAATAGAAATATGTCCCTCAAGGAAAGTCTTAAAGAAGTAGGCTGGTAAGTAAAAATACAGAATTTTAAAGATGGAAGTTTGTTGCTTTCAAAATTTCTGATTGTTGTGTGATATTTCCAGGCATCTTACTCAAGATGGTATTGATACTATTAGCGAAAATGGTGAAATACAAGATGTAAATATTATTAGCCGAAAAGCTTTAGATGTAAGTATAATATTCAAATAATATGACGTTTTGTGTACGTGGTAAACCTCTGGATATATCAAGATTTTTTTTTACAATATTGCAGTTTGATTTGAGAGATGTTGGTGATGCTGCATTTCCTGAAGACTTTACTAAAGATCCCACCAAGTTAGAAAAACCAATAGTTGTACAAATACAGAAGATAAGAAATGTCTCAGCCCCAAAAGCTAATGAGGAATCAAGTTCAGCTCCACGGATGCTGAGGCTGACATTACATGATGGGAAGTCATCCTGCACTGGTTTAGAGACAAGTCCTATTCCAGGTCTTAGTATCAATACTCCTCCTGGCACTAAACTGTTGCTTAATAATGAAGGACTAGAAGTATGTCACGGTGTTATCTGGCTGTCTCCAAGTGTTATATCTGTTTTAGGTGGAAAAGTTTCCCACATGATAGAAAAATGGGAATTAAATAGGAGTCTTGCAAAACATACCCGAGGTAAGAATTATCCTATAGAATTTAATTACAACACATTTCTTGGCTCCTTTGTATAACTAATGAACCTCTGCTAATGTCAAAGTTGACAAATACAAGGGGATATTACTATAAAACAATGACAGTATTTTGACTACTAGTTTTAGGATTGATTTTGTGTATAACTTAAGAAGTTGAGCTACTTAAAAAGGAATAAACATCACAAGATTTACATTCTACTGGTGATTGAAATACAATTGATTTGAATATAGTATTAAGATTACTTACACTACTGGAATTATGAATAATAATAAAAATAATAATTTAATGCTATTAATATTCAAAGTTTTATATTACTAGTTGTTAGAAATTTTGCTAGGACATTAGCAAAAGGGGTATTTGTTAAGGATAATAAAAAAGGAACATTTACAGTGTTTAATATTAGGAGGTAAAATATCATATAAGGGGATTATCAAATGGTGGCACTCAACGAAAAGTGCTCCAGAGTACTCTCATCTAGGCTACACTGGCACAGCTAACTTTCTTTCACACAAAGTTTCAATGTCCATAGAACCATGACTTGATATAAACTAGGCTTAATGGAACCAAAGAATTTTTCTTTTGATAGTCTGGAAGATTGCCACCTATTATTCCAATTAAGCAACATGTTTAGGTTTGCTACATCATGCAGCTCCTAATCATTGCAAGTCCATCTGCAGTTTCATTGCCTTTGATACTACTATAGGCAATACTTTTAAAACAATCACAGTATATTAAAATGACATTCCTTACTTTTAGTCAGTTTCAAAAAACAAGTTTTTTTTTAATTCTACCATATCCACTCGTATGTCGGGGTCATTTTGGCTAATATGGCGCATCTGTCGAGCACTTCCTGAAGTACTACCAGACTACTTCCTGCTGTTCATTACAATGACTATTTCCAAGACATTTTGTATAAAAGGTATATTAAAATCATATATCAATGGAAATTTTATTAAGTAAGCTATCATATTATGTATAACTTGAATACAGATTTACTTCGAAAGTGATACTAATTTGAAAATGAAAGTAAGAAAAATGTTTTTTCCCCAATTTTCTGCAAAGGTGTAATAATTATAAATTAAAGCCTTTATTCCAAGTACTATTTGTTTTACTTGTACGTCCAAAGCATATTTAATTATAAAAAAAAATTTTTTTCATAAATTTTTTGTTTATAACAAGGTCGAGAAAGGCCTCACTTAGCTCTACTCAACATCGGGACAAAAAATAAGGAGGTTCACAAAAAAACACATTATTAAATCAAATTTAGACAAAATCAATCATGCAGATATAATATATGTTATATATATGTATGTTACATATATATCATATATATGTTACAAATAGTTTGCTATCACTCGACGCCATATTGTGGCATATTATTTGAGACGCCAGAATATGGCGTTTCGACAGCCAAGGGGATATTTTCAACTTTAAAAAAGGGTGATAACTGACTTCAAGGGACTAAAGGAATAACATAATTTCCTTATAACTTAATAGTTTCTGATATCAGTACTAAAATATAGTGTACTGTGTATGGAAGAATTAAAGATCCGCTTAGGGTTAAATGTTTGCAGTATCAGATGTTTTGCAAATATGGCACTTCTCCCTGTCATGTTACTTCTGGCATATAACTAGATGGTACATTACTGTATATATCTGATATATTATATATTTTTATTGGCTTTTATAACAAGTGATAAATATGCAGCTTTGTGAAAAAAAAGTAAGAATGATATATTGCATAAAATTTGTTTGGGATTTATGTACTGAAAGATGCATATTATGATTGATTTAATTAATTTTATTTCTCATAAGAAAATGTACTATATAATTACTAGCAATGCCAATGATTTTTGGATCTCAACAAAAGTGCCACCTACTGGGTTCAATCAAAACCATTCTCGAATCAACTTAATCACACAAACAAAATTTCATCATAGTCAGTCCACCCGTTTAGCCACTCAAGCATCCATGGTAACTGTAGTTCCCACAAAAATTCTTGCGCTAGCTGTCCATGGTGACTACAGTCACCGAACAACATCGTTCGGTTTAAATGTGTGCAGCGCTAAAGAAAGTTAATAACAATACGGTATAAAAATAAGAGATGCTGCGATTTAAAATTCGTCATCCATGAGAGTGAATTTTGTCTGTGCAATGGTAAAAAATATTCAGAAATAAAAAGTGAAAATAACAGTTCGCCATACTTGTTTGTGGTCTGTTAAAGTTTGTGGAGCTTAATCAAAAATGTGATTAGTTTTCTGTTTTTAAACGTTATTTCTAATGTGATTGTATGTCAAATTAATTTTAAAGATATTTCCTTTAGGAAATATGTATCATTATGACAGTTCCAAAAAAATTAACATATAATAATTAAGCTTAAAATTTTAATTGATATATGCGATCATTGTTTTTTGATTATATGTTGTTTAAAATGTATTCTAATCGGTTGTTTTTGTTAAATATTTGCTAAATATAAAAGAATGCTTCACTATTAACACAATATGTGCTATTTATAAAAGAAATATGTTGAGATGTGTCTAGAAATTATTAAAATGGAACTTATGCAATTCATGATTGCATTGGGGAGTGAATATTTATTTTGAGTAAATATTCTATATTTATCTATACTGAGTAAATAATATTGAGATATTCATGTTATTTTAAAGGGTATATCATGTACTACCATAATACTAAATAATTGTCTATGGTAACTATTAAACTTTTCTTGTAAAACTTGGAACAAAAAATAAATACGATAATTTTTGTGATGTTCACAACTTTAAGCTTTATCTGAGCAATTTTGTTTTAACAAAATTAAATTCTGAGTTTATTTGAGCTTTTTGTGATTTTTTTTTTATTTGAATGTAGCTATAGTAGTTTTTCAGTAGTAATTGTTTTTGTTGAGAGTGTTTCGTACGGTCGTAAAAAAGAAAGTATCATTTAATATGCAGACAGGTAGGGCGAGAATCACTCGCATGGCTTGAGTGGTTATGAGGAGTTCAGTTACATACACATGGACAGAATTATATATAATGTATATAATGTAAAGAATTGTGTCTGAATGTCAAGTCAGAAAGGGATGTTATGACAAGTAATAACAGTTATATGGTCATGAAGTTATAAAATAATAGCCAAAAAAACCAAGAAAATTGACAGCCTGTAATGAGCTTCCAAGTGGTGACTGCAGATCTTTAGTTTTACTTTTTTTTGTTAGATCATAACTGCCTTAGTCTTTTTTGCACAAATATGTACCTACTCAAAATTATTACATTGTAAAATTTTAACTGATTGTACTGAAAAAAATTCTATATATTTTGGCATGCTTTTTCATAAAGTGGAGCCATGCTGCAGATATATTATAGTTGTAGCAATAAGTTGGCTCGATCGAAAATGGACTACACTCTCACAGAATATCAGTGTAAATTGCAGTAAAATGCTCCTGTTCGTATAGTGAGTGTAGTGAACCGGAGACCCTTTTCACTGGAAATGAGGAGTTCTATCTTAGTCCTCAGGGGTGACAACACATCTGCATTTTGATTCTTAATCGAGGATAAATGGAGATGTTTGTGGGCCACAGCATCCTAAAGGACAAGTTTGAGTGAAATGAGTAGTAATTGCTAAAAGAACTGCTACCAGTCTAAGTTTTTTTGTTTTAAGTTTTCTATAAAATTCAAAATAATATTCAAAAGCCATAAAATATACAAATTGCCTGCCTTCAATGGCACAATGCACATCCTACATCTTTAAAAAAAATGGTTTATTAGACCAGCATATCTTCCAGAGTATGTCTTCAATGGCTTCTGAGTTTTTGTTTTGGATAAGATAGAACTTTTTAATTATCTATCCCCAGTAAAAGAAATCTCATCTTAAGTCAGTTAAACGGTTTGGCCAAGAAAATGGATCAGATCTACCTGTCTAAGTGCCTATGCGTCAGTATTTGGCGAAGGCGCCTTCGCTCTTTGGTTCATTCACATAGTTCAAATGGTGAGTCTATCCATCTCACTCCTTTTGTTAAGAGAGATGTAAACAATCTGCCTGCTAGCTTTACTACCTGACTCATTCAAACTTGCATCTTAAAATGTATGCTTATAGAAAGCCTAGCATGCACTAGTAGCATTTTAACAAAGTTATTAAAATTGGTGTTATGATCTAGCAAGTGTCATGTCATTTTGGAATTTGGATTACATATGTCATCTTTTTAGTCACTTGCTTCAAAGGTGATATACAATTATGTCAGTGCAGTTAGTTAAATTAGAGCACTGCAATAATTTGAGTACAGGCTTGGACAAAAAGTGAAAGTGAAAGAAGAAACGAAAAGTGAAATGTAATTTCAGAAAGGTTAAAAGCACAAAAAATTACAGGAAAGATTTGTAGTGCGTGTGCAGGTGTGAGTGTGAGCGCAAGCGCTCAGTTCGCATGAGTGTTGTATGTGTGTATGCATATCGTTATCATCATTACAGCCCTTCACAAGTCTACTGCTGAACATAGTCCTCCCACAAGGAATGCCACAAAGCACAGTCCCAAGCCACCTGAATCCATAGACTTCCTGTTGTCTTACCTGGTTGTCACTCCTTCTAGTGGGGGTATTTGTCCCAGGTAAACATACTCGTCAACAACTTCAAGCGTACTGTTGCCAATAGCTACTGGCATAGGTGTGACATTGATGTTACACATAACCTTTGTTTTGTCTATGTTAATGTTAAGACCTGTGTATGCATATGTGTGCACTAATTTAATGTAATATGTTTGTGGTATTAGTTTATTATGTAGTAATTCTGTGTTGTTCAAGGTGGTATTGGTGCTGACGGAGGGCCACCTCCATGGATTCCATTTGGCCAGCGTTTGGAGGCTCTGTCCGTAGATAAACAATTTAAGAGCTTGCAGGAAGCTGCTAAGCAAGATAATGCAGAGTTTGAAGCTCAGAGGAAAGGTGCAATCGCTGAAGCACAGAGATTGTCTGGTGTTAAGAAGGTAACATATATTTTTATTACACTCATTTATGACATACAGTGGATGTTCAAATTATTATACTCAAACCATGAAATAAGATTTTTTTTAAGTTTAAATTTATTTAAGTAATAAATTTAATCTGATAACTGGTATTATTTTTTCACTAGAGCTTATAAAACTATTTCTGAAAATAATTAAACATGTTTTTGGTGTTAAAAGTTAATTTAATTCAAGTTTTTTTACAAATTAATATTTTGTAAAACCACCCTTTTGTGCAATAACTTCTTGAAGTCGACAAGGCATGCTGTCTATGCAATTTTTTGATATTGTTTTTAATTCTGGGGTGTTAAACCAAGCTTTGATTAAAAATCTTCTCAATCAGTTCTTGTTTATTAGTTATGACTTTTTCTTTAGCTGTTTCCTTTTTTAATGCTGCCCACACATTTTCTATGGGGTTTAGATCTGGAGAGTTACCAGGCAATTCCAACACCTTTATCTGATGGTCATTTAGGAATTTTGTCACTTTTTTAGCTTTATGACATGGGGCTGAGTCGTGCATAAACAGGAAATCCCTATTAGGAAACCATTCTGATGTCTGTGGGATCAGTTTTTCTGACAGAACTTTAATGTACTGATCCTGCCGCATGGTGTTTTCCACTATGTAGAGGTATCCGTTACCCTTTGCACTGATAACTCCCCAGATCATTATGGATAGTGGATGCTTCACTCTCTTTACTAAACAATCTTCTTTGAATTTCTCATTTGGTCTCCTACGAACAAACTGCGTATGGTCTTGCAAGATCTGGATACTCGACTCATCAGAGAAGCAAACCTAGAAATCCCAAACATGAGCAATTCACATTAGTAAAGACATGTCCATACAGTGATACAATACAAAATACGTTTAAAATACAATATATTACTTTATGCCAGTCTTCTGCAGTCCAGTGTTCATATTTTTTTGCAAACTCTAGGCGTTTCAGATGCATGACAGGAGTCAATTTCGGCTTCTTCAATGGTCGACGGCAGGAAAAGTTTTGTTCCTTCCATCTTCTACGTAACGTCATGTCGGACAGAGTCACTCCAGCCTCTTCGAGAATATCTCTAATGACTTTTCTGGGTTTATTCCGATTTTCTATGGTTATTTGCCGAATTTTTCGCTCATCTCGAGGCGTAGTGATGCGTTTGCGTCCACATTTTCCGGAACGTTTCGGCGTCATGGACTCCCCCTTGTAGCATAGCTTTACTGATATTACGCACTGTTGATTGAGAAACCTTGCACATTTCTGCTATTTTCCTTTGAGAATATTTACAGTGTTGTAGCAAAGTCTTAATTTCAGTTTTCTTTTTTGGAGACACGTCAGAACGCTTCCCTATCTTCAAATCTATTGAAAATGAGGTTATGTTGATGAAAAAGACGAATTTTAAAATAAAATATGTATTAGACAGCAAAAAACAGCGAAATGCAAGAAGAATAAAAACTAATTACAAAGTAAAACCAATAAAATATACCTTTTACTGAATAAATCCTTTACTTAGTTATAATAAAGACACAGAGAGCACGTGCTTACAGAAATACAAAATTGACAACAAAACAAAATGGCGGCTGTTACAGTGTTGCCTAGTTAAAAGTAGACAATTTTAGTGTTGTAAACTATAAAGCATAAAATTATTAATCATTGTTAATTTATTTGATTGAACTAAAACCGTCGTTGTAAAGTATAATTGGTTTTAAATACTAAAGAAACGGAATAAATATGTTGAGTATAATAATTTGAACATCCACTGTAATAGCCATGTGGTGGTGGTGGTTTAAAATAATCCATTACTCCATTTCGTCACGTAGGTTTCGTAAGAGTGGATTATGTGAAATGTAAAAAAATTTTTATGGCTTTTGACAGATGGCCATATAACTATCTTTTTACATCATATGTAAAATACTCAAACTGGCAACGGGTAACAGCCTCATAGGTGTGAGACGTCTGGCACTACGATCAGTAATTTTTTAGCGTTTAACTGTAAAAAATTAAATCCAGAGGAGATTTACTTACAACGGAAGGGGACACATGACTAGTAGTAGACTTATGGGTTGATAAAGATGTAAAATAGTTATGTATATTCTGTTAGCTAAGATAGTGTCGGTACACCTGGAGGCGTACTTATTATTTTGCTTTTATTTTATTATTTTTTACTGTGTTTATATAAATGTTTTGCTATTCCAAGAATAAAATAGAATACTATTTCAAATATAAATAATAAACATAAGTTAGGTAGCAAAGAACCTTTCACTAGGGTGCTTTCGTTTTAAGATGCCAAATTCTCCCGCTTGGGTACGCCGTACGTGGCGACCTTTAATATCGCAGCGGCGCCTTTGACAATATGAAGCACGAACCAAGGCGGCGCGACACACATGCGATCGTATCTAAGTGAACAGACTATAGTAGTAGTTAGAGTTATGTAGCATCGATTGTTTTAAAAATGATATTGAATCTATTTCTTAGAACTGTTTATTTTGTGAAACAGTTGTTACTGTTGTTATGACAATTAACAAAATGCCAATAATTCCAATGACATAACCATGAATGAGTTGAACAATACCGACTAAAGGCAATCACTAGTGTGAAAGAGATAGTAATATCTTTTCATTTACTACAAAATTGTGAGATGTCCTTTCTCATGCTGAAATAGTTTATATTATTGCATAACAATAATACCGTTTTTTACTGGTTACCTTAATTTGATAACTTATTAGATTTTTATGATGACCTTCAATTACAAATTTATTGTAATAGTACAGACAGGTAATATCATAAATCAACCTGCACAAAAATACCCAGTGATTGAATATTTCTCCATCTAGTGCAAAGCCTGGGTATAGGATGAAGAGAAGTTCATTTTAAAGTCATGATTGAACATTCAGCTGTCATGAAATATACAATCGATAAAAGTTATGTTGTTGGCAATAATAATAATAATAAAATGGCGTAGGGAATTGACGAGTGACTACCCCATCGCCCGTAGACGTAACGGTTACGTGACAAAACTGCTACGCCAGGGCAGTCCGTCAGCACCATGCCAAGAGGTGTTAGTGCCGTGCCTCGGCAAAAATTTAAGGTGCAGAGGCCCGCTTGTGCAGATGGCCTCACCATGAAACGGCGCCGGGTCTGGTCTTTTCCCGTTTAATGACGCCCATTAAAATGGATGATGGAACACGAAAGGGTCGCTGCCTAGAGGTCCCCAGAGCGCGTCTGGAGCTGGCGCTGGACGCGACAACATACGAACCGCCAGGCGAGTGCGAGGTGCTGCATGACCACTCAGCAGCCCCTCGCATCCCTCATCCCCACCAGCTGGCTTAGTGTCAGCAGGGTCTTCGCGGGCCCATAAATCGGCACCCGCCACTGGTAAAATACGCCGAATGCAGCAGTGAAGGGGGGAAAAATTGGAGATTTTGCGTATCGGGCTAGGATGCATCGACTTTTTGCTGAGCTGGAGCCATCTATAACCGTCACCGAGCAAAACTTGGCAGACTGAGTCCGATATATCTTGCGCTCAAATGTAATTGATGTCGCTGAACTCGAACGGCTGCGACGTGGGGCTGTTCCCTTATCTGATGAAAATGCTACGGCTGAGGATGCGGCGACACAAATTACAGAGCAATCCGCAATTGTGGATGCCGCCGTGAATACCCCAGTTATGGTTGATTCAAATGATGATGGAACAGTCGCCCAGGAACTGGAACTTGAGCAAATGAAGAATACATTGGAAGAGGCGATTATGGAAAGGCGCAGTACGCCTCTCGAAAAACGACCGCGACTTGCCCGTATAGCCCGTAGCAGGCAGAATTCGGCTGTCGAAAGGGCACTAAACCCAATGTTGGTGACCTATTTGAAAGTTAGCCGGGACCTTTGCAAGACGAACTCCATTCTTTTTGGCGCCGCACTGGCAGTCTGCCATATCATATGTGCCAAGTTTTCCACAGCTGGACGCGCTACTGGACAAAGTAGCGCTATACCAGCCTGGAGAATAAGAATCGAAGAACTTAGAGCCCTCATACGGATATGCTTCAGGTCAGGCAGACTGATATGCTTCAGATCAGGCAATAACAGGCCAAGGATTGTGCGCACCGTCAGGATGGCGTTTTCTGGGACAAATGTCAGTTTGTCCCAGCCGGATATAACGCAAAAACTGACGGAGCGCATAGACGACCTGAAACAGAGAATCGCTGCTTGGGGAAAGCGGATTCGGGGATATACCGAAGGTCGACACGGTTCAACCAGAATCGTCTCTTCCAGAGTGATCAGGAAGCGGTTCTATAAATCATTGGAAGCGACCAATGGTAAGTGGAACGGGTCCAGCACCAAATCAGGCGGACAATATCGCATTCTGGCGCCGCCTGTGGTCAGAGCCCGTAAACCAGAGCGAGGGCCCTTGGACGGAAGTTGTGGCGAGACAGTGTGCGAGTGTTACGCCCATGGACCCCGCCATCATAACGCCAACTGACGTAGCTGAGGCGGTCCGTAGGGCCCCGAACTGGAAAGACCAGGATACCACAGACCCCCGAGCAAATACCGCGTCATCACGTGTCTACCTACCATATACAAGACACATCCATTATGAGCGCGAGAATCACTCGTTACCTGGACTCAAATCAGGTTATTTCGCTCGCTCAAAATGAATATCAGGGCGGTGGTCGTGCAAACAAGGAACCACTCCTCATTGAGGCAGTCAATGGCAAAGTGGTAAAACGCAACCGTCGGAACTTCTCCGCCAGCTGGATAGACTACAGAAAGGCATTCGACTTGGTGCCACATACATGGCTAAAGAGGGTCCTCGAGGTGTGCAACGTTGACTGTAGGTACAGTTAGAGACTTCTTCGAGCAGTGTATGAGGCAGTGGAGTACGACCCTATGTCATCTGGGCGATCGAATGACGGCAGCCGACAGCCGTATAAGAATCAGAAGGGGAATCTTCAAGGCGACTGTCTGAGTCAAATCTTGTTCTGCCTCTCTTTGAACCCTTTCAGTACTTTACTGGAGGGCTCCGGAAGAGGAATTTCAGGTTCGGAAAGGGGGTACAAAATGACGCACCTTTTCTGTATGGATGACCTCAAGTTATTCGCCTCTTGTCGAATTGCTAAACATCACTTGTGATTTTAGCAATTCTATTAGAATGGAGCTGGGGACGGATAAGTGTGCGGTCCTCCATGTTGAACGGGTAAAGGTTGCTAACTCTGAGGGCATAGTCTATGCCCGTCAACTTAAGGACCCTTTTCGATGCTGAAACATACCGATACCTGGGTATAGTCACAGAACATCGGTATTGATGAGGCTGGTATGAAATAGTCAGTTTGCGACGTGTTTTATGCACGCTTGACTAAAGTGCTTAACAGCCTAAGACACAAGCATATAACGCTTGGGTCATGCCTGTACTCATGGTATATATGGTATACTTAGGTGGACTGAAAATGAACTTAACGCCCTAGATAGAAAAGTCCGTACTACTATCCTGACGTCCCATATGATGCATCACCCGAGATCGTCGATTATGAGGCTGTACTTGCTGCGGAAATATGGTGGACGTGGCTTTTTAAGCGCGCTTACCATGCATAATTGCGAAGTGTGCAGTCTCCGTAATTACTTTCTGACCAGATCGGATGATCCATTATATAGGGACGTTTCTTGTGATTAAAGGGCATACCGTTCTATCTTTAGCCACCGAGTAATGGCAAGACACGGCAGTACAGAGCATTTCCGACCAGGAGACCGTATGGAAGGAGAAGGGGCTAAACGGGAGATTCTACAAGGCTCTTTATGAGCCTTTCGTAGACACAGTTGCCTCCCTCCACTGGCTACTCTTTGGAAACCGAGGGTTTTGTCTGTGGGATACAGAATCACGTTATTAAGCCTAACAACTATCGAGGATACATCCTAAGGGATGCCACTTCGACATCTGTCGAGCTTATCGCCATCCCGGTAACTCACTTAGGCATGTCATCTCCGGTTAACATAATATTACTGCTTCATCAACTTCTAATAAATACTTGCATAAGCTTTATATAGCCTCTATATAGGTTGGCCTTTGCAGCCAGAAAATTTTATAATCTCGTAGGAAGTCAGAAATCGTACGCGAACGAAGTCTCGGGCGACCGCTAATTCCCTATAAGTCTATTTTATAGCTACTTAATAGTATTATATCAAAATGATCATCAAAAATGATCGCGCATTCTTGCGAATAAGCCTGATATTGTGCTGATGGACCGAGCACAGGCGAGGATATTTTTGGTCAATATTACCATCCTGTATGACGAGAAGCCGAAACAGATAAGCAAACGAAATATACAACAATCGACATAGTTGCTATATATATATATATATATATATATATATATATATATATATATATATATATATAAATTACGAGAGACCACTCCTCATTGAGGCAGCCCCTGGAGAATCCCTTGCTGAGTATCCACGACCATGTTTCTCCATTTCTGAGCGTGGGTGCTCAGGCTGCCCCGCGTATTCTGGGGGGGGGGGCAATCTCCTCAAACCGGGGCAAATGGAGCAACAAGACCAAGGCGACCCCTGCCTCGCTGTCCGTGAATTTCTGCAATATCATAAATATTTTAGTAAAACCTACTAAAATATTTATGATATACCTACCATCCAAGTCACATCTTACATGTGATATAGCAGATAAATTAAAAAAAAAATCGCTCGCTTAAAGTTGACCGACGAAATATCTCTATAATCTATAATTGACTGGCTCACAAGGTGACCGACATGTGGGGTGGTCTTCCGACCGAAATTTTATGTAGTCGTGCTGTGAACGGGCTAATCCCAGTCAGCCTACTCGGGCCACGACTGCTCTACCTCCGGGCTCAAATGCAAAAGGTGGTGCTCCTCAAAACCGCCCGCATCGTCCGCCGGTTACTTCCCTGACCCTCGGCCGTTTGGTCTCCCCCGCCAAGGGCTTCCATCTCGTTGGGCTTTTGTTTATTTATGTGTTATTTATTTATTAATGTTAGTATATTAAATATTTATGTATATTTATCATTTAGAGTGGCGCATCGCCATGCCAACATTCCTCTACCCCCGCGACTCCACCTCGGCTACGTCGGGAAGGGGGAGGGGACACCACTCGAGCCATAGTCCACTAACGCGCCTCTAGAGTGGGCTAGGCAAGCCTACTACTGATGCGCGTTGTTTACACTTTTGGCTAGCCTAGTGGGTTCCTCTACCTTCGCCCTAAGTGACCAAGCCACGGCTACTAATACCCCCCCCCCCCCGCCCGCCCGCCACGACAAGCCGGGAAACCCGTTCGGATATTGTTGTGAAATATATGTCTTGGCAAATGTTCATCATATGTAAACAATATTATGTTATGTTGTCAAAAATACACGTAAAACTCACCACTAGTATATCGTAGTTCGCAACATGTTACGTACGATTTTCATTTTTCTAATATTCTATTTACAGATATTTGGGGGAGGCACTAAGCCTTTATTAGATGCAAATGTGCAAAAGATTGTTGATGCTGGTTTTTCGGAGGAACAAGCTGAAAATGCCCTTAAATATACTAAAAATAATGTGGATAGAGCCCTCAGGATATTACAAAAAAGGGATAATTCAGAAAATAGGAGTAAGGAGAAGCCAAAAGAACCAGAGCAGCCTAAACGCAAGGGACGTAACAAAGAGTCCACTGATGAAGACATAATACCAGTTAAACCATCTGGAAAGGTGTCGTTATTTGATTTTCTTGAAGATAAACTGCCTAATGTCCCAGATAAGGATAGAAATAATCGTAATCACAACTCAACTACAGACGATAGAGGTGATAGAAGTTATGCTAACAGGGAGCGAAACAGTGCCAAAAGTAATAGTCGTTCACAAGGTTCAAGATATGATGGACCAAACAGACATAAATCAGATGGCAGAGGCCACTATTCAAATGATAATCATCACACATCGCATAGAGAGGATAGAAAGTACCAAACTCAAAATGAGAAGCCACCAAGATTTCAGAAAAAGTTAGAAGAAAAAAATAAACAGCAGCAACAACAACAACACCAGCAACACCAGCAACAGCAGCAACAGCAGCAACACCAGCAACAGCAGCACCAGCAGCAACAACAACACCACCAACAACAACAACACCACCAGCAACTACAACAACAACAACAACAACAACACCAGCAACAACAACAACAACAACACCAGCAACAACAACAACAACACCATCATCAGCAACAACACCACCACCACCAACAACAACAACAACACCACCAACCACAAGCTAATAAGGTCAATTTAAATATGCAATACAATAATTCATATCATACTCAACAACAAAATCAATTTAGTGAACATAATATGCGCCATGATAGAAATATGAATGATAATAAAATGCATCAACCTCGTAACTATCAGAATAATACTAATGCTATAGATAGTTTGACAGAGACTACAGCAAATTTAAATCTACTAGCAGATCAATCACGGCATACAGATGATGTTATTCAGCCCCGTAACTATCAACCCCATCCTGAACAGATGTATGCCCCGAAACAGCCCTACTTTCCTAATCAAAACATGCAAGACATACCTCCGTTTAGGAGGAACAATGATTTAAAAAATTACCAAGATCAATCCTACCAGAGGAGGCCACAACAGCAACAACAGCAGTCAAATGGTTACATTGAGCCTCCGCAGAACCCAATGTACCCAAATATGAACTACTTGAGTGGGACACAAGGGTACAACAGCCGTCAGTATGGATATGGTGGAAGGCCTCAAGAGTATAACACTACAATGCGTGCTGGTGGTCCATTTTTGCCAGGATCACTACTCGGTTTTCAAAATGCGGCTGTGAATGAACAAGCGCGTGCTATGCTCGGCGTTGCTGATATAAATTGGAAAGTCGGCGATAGGTGCTTAGCACTTTATTGGGAAGATAATAATGTATGAGAATGCTTTTTTAATTTTTTTTAAATTAAATCCTATTAAGGTATTATGTATTAATGATATTTTAATTTCAGTTCTACGAAGCTGAGATCACTGGCATTTCAGCAAACACTGTAGTAGTCAAATTTTGTGCATATGGTAACCATGAAGAAGTTTTAAAGTCAAACTGCTTGCCCTTCCCTAATCAACGTAAGTATAATTTTATTATTATGATCTTAGTCATCACTTATAAGCCTGTAAAAATAATGGACATTTGTCTATCATATTTTATTCTAAGTACTTGCAGTCACTGTCACATTTTTTCAAGATTGTAATATTGTTACGAGCTTAGGGTTCGTGACAATGAAAACTGCCGATTGAATTACCAAAATTGACACTTTAATTACTGAACACCAATTAAAACTTAAATCACACTAATAATTACACTTAACACTAGTTCACTTCACTCCGAAAGCTTCGTTCGTATCGCCAATTGAATACTGCCCCGGTCGTGGCCCATAACGACTTTATATAGGCTTTTTCCATCGAAACATCCAGAATATTCCAGCAAATACCGGCCTCCGACCGACCAGGTGCAGAAAGTTCGAGTGTGGAGATTTCTAGAAAGCTTAATTCTTCCATTCGATACTAGATGTCGCTAGTGGGAGAGTTCTAGAAATATCTTGACCACAGATTACCTCCTAATAGATTCCGCATACAGCGCCAAAAACGCGCGCAACACATGCTTGCTGTAGCTAGCATATGAAGTGACGCTATGAATCACGATATCATTGTCGACCAAGATTGTGACCCGTAGACGCCTCCGAGTTTTTGACAATTTAAAAATAGTTTTGTATCAAAAATACATTACAAATGGCTTCCTGTGCAGTGAAATGGTGTGGCAAGTCAGCTAAGACATCCAGTTATCAAAAAGATGGCATAACATTTCATCGGTAAGTAAATTCTATTCTTATTACGTTAGCTTATTTCAACTGCACCGGAGTTCAACTTATACTGGTAATATAATGGTGGTGCAAAGTGATAACAATTAAGCACCCGTTGATGTCTTTTTGAAATGTCTCTTTCACTCATTATGTAAATTAAAATAGTTGTCTTTGTCTAACGACGGCACGTGTAACGATAGTGTTGTGATTTATAAAGTCGATATTTGTTTGGTCATCGTTCACATTTTTTTTGTAGTCATTATTGTATAAAAATAGTGACGTATAATGTATGTGGTACCTATATGTTATAGGTTTCCTAAATGCCCCGAAAGGAAAAAGATGTGGATCGACGCAACTTGTCAAGGGGATCAATGGTTTCCCACCAAAAATAGTGTGATATGCTCAAGACACTTCACGGAAGACAATCTTCATCGTATGAAAAACCGTAGAAGGCTGTTGGATTCCGCTATACCATCTCTATACTTGCCAGTTTTAGTATGCTTTTTCATTTTATTTTAGTACCAATGTAAATTACACAATAAGTAATAGCATTAAGTGGTTGATTGTAACGTGATATTCTAATATTTAGGCGAATGATACACGTCGAAATTAAACTATTTTTAACGGATTTATAAATCATAAAATAAGTGAAAGTTATAATGTGATTATTGTTTTGACTTGCTATTCTAGTGTTACATGAACTTCAGCAAATCCTATTATTATTAAGTACATCTAAATTTGAAAGATGTACCGTTTGGTTTAGTAATTAATAATACTACTTTTAGGCACCCGTCCCTACCATAAGTGCACGTGCAGATATTGCAGCTAAAATACGGAAATTCCTGTGGCCGGCACATCGTTTAAAAAAAGCGGTATTAATATAATAAGAATTAATGATATGTTTATAACTTGTATAAATTAATAAAAAAATGCATTATAAGTTTCTAAATAATTATCGGTAATACTCCAAAATTAACGAATACGTATTTTAGATTGGTGATACACCACTGAAAGACGCTGCTAACAACCCGCTAACACCTAAAAATCAGAGCCATTGTTTAGAAACGCCTACAAAACAAAAAAGAAAATTTTATCCTACTCCTGATACGCCATCTGCATTTGATACTCCAGTGAAAAAACATCTTTGTAGAAGAATCATCGAATTATCCAACGTAGTGAACAAAAAAGACAAAAAAAATAAAAAGTTTCTTTGCAGGCATTATTGACAGAATTAGAGCACAAAAATTTATTAACAGCCGAAAACAATGACGAATTAAGTTCTTTAGGGGTTAAATGTAGTGAAATTATTCGTCGTCAAATATTGAAAGGAAAATCAGGAAAAATTGTAAGAAAAAAACCCAGTTAAAGCAACCTTAAATTTTTACTCAACAAAGGCTTATAATTATGTACGCAAGACATTTAATACTTGTTTACCCTCTGTAAAGTCACTGGGAAAATGGTACAGATCTATAGATGGTCGTCCAGGTTTCACAAAGGAAGCTTTTGATGCTCTTAAATTTAAGGCAACGAGCCTATTTATTGCTGTATTGTTTTTGATGAAATGATAATTGAGAGGAAAGTAGAAAAGACATACGGCTATGTAGATTACGGTGGAAGTGTAGATTCTGACTGTAGAGAAGAATGTACCGACGCATTAGTTTTTCTAGTAGTTGCATTACACGGTAAATGGAAAGTACCTATTGGGTATTTTTTCATTAATAAAGTGACAGCTGACCAAAAAAAACTTTTACTTATTCAAGCTATTGAGTTATGCCTTGAAGCAGGATTATTAGTCAAAGCTGTGGACCTTTGATGGCTGTCCAGCCAATATAGCAATGGCCAAGAAACTCGGCTGCGATTTAAATCCTAATAATTTGAAAACTGTTTTTAAAGTACAAAATAATGAAATAGCTATCTTTTTCGACCCAGCTCACATGATAAAATTAGTTAGAAATAGTTTTGAACATTACAGGGAATTTAAGGATGCTGAAGGCAAAGATATAAAATTGAGTCATATTGAGATGTTACACCAGTTGCAAGAAGACGAGAAGTTTCACGCAACTAACAAGCTACGATCTGAACACTTGTTTTTTAAAAAGAATATTATGAAAGTGAAGCTTGCCACTCAATTGTTTAGCAGAAGTGTATCAATAGCTCTCCAATTTTGTAAAAATACCTTGATGATATCCCAGTTTCAAGGAATAGATGGAACAGCTAATATGTTGTTAGTCTTAAACGACTTATTCGATATCTTAGATTCGAAAGTGCATGGATATGGACTGAAAAGGGCATTAAACGCTGAAAACTCTGAAGTTATTTATCAAAACTTGAAATGTGCAAAAATGTGTTGATGAATTTGACAACTGATTTCAAAAATAGCAGCCGCGATTAATTGATACACCGAGACTTACCGGATTTTTAGGACTTTGTATATGTATTGAAAGTGCAAAATTTTTATTTAATGATTTGATAAAGAACCATCGCTGTCCTTATATATCATTTCACCGTATCAGTCAAGACCACATTGAACTGTTTTTCTGCAATATGAGATCACATGGAGGGGCTAATAACAATCCAACACCAAAACAGTTTCATGGAATTTACAGAAAAATGCTTGTACACATGGAACTGCAAGATTTTAATACCGGTAATTGTATAGCATTAGAACATATAACCATATTAAACTGTTCTTCAGCTATAAAACGCATAAATATGACGACTGAAAGGGGTGAAACTTGCGAGACTGAGGAGCGTGTTGATGAAACTTTTATTAATTCCTTACATAATATGCCGTAATCTCAGTTTTCAGAAAGCATAATAGAATATCTCGCTGGCGCTGTTGTTCATTACTTAATAAAAAATATCTAATGTAATAAGTGCGTTAAAGCTTTAATATCCCTAGATGAGAGAAAAACCAGTTTAATTTACGCAAGAGATGCAGGAGGACTACTGTTTCCGTCTAATATGGTCACCAAAATTTGCAGACGATCTGAACAAGTCATTCGAAGCTCAATCGATTCATATCAAGGTTCTAAAATATATTACAAAGATAAATTCCGTCTTGTAACACAAACATTTAAAAAAATACATAGACATAAGATTATTTTACTTATCCAGGAAAACAGATCCTAAAAATTCTGTGCGACAATTTTATACTAAGCTCATCCATTTTAAAAATCAGTGAAATATATATTTAAAGTTAAGTTTCCGAAGATACACAAACCAAACGCTCCACTACGTCCCATAATGATCCAGATCGATTCACTGACTTATAAGATAGCACAATACTTGGCAAAAATGCTGTCACCACCGAGAGGACATACCAGAGCACACACAAAGGATTTATACCATTTCGTTAGGGAAATAAAAGACCTACATCTCACTGACAATCAAACTATGGTCAGTTTTGATGTTAAGTCACTATTTACATGCCTGCCTATTGAAGACTGCATCTTAATTGTAACTAGGAAGCTAGAAGATAACAACATGCCTGCAGAATATGCAGTATTACTCAAACACTGCTTCACATCTGGCTATCTATTGTGGAAGGAAGAGTTCTACAAGCAAGTAGATGGGCTCACCTGTATCCCCCATAGTCACCAACATATTGAGGAGAAAGCCCTTCTTACTGCTCCTGTAAATCCAAGATTCTACAAGCGGCAAGTAGACAACACTTTCAAAATTTTAGATCACATGAAGTCCATAAATTCACAATGGAGTTAGAGGCAAATAATTCTTTAGCTTTCCTTTAGCACCCTAAACGTCGGGGATTAAAAATAAGTTAAAATAAGTTAATTAAACGCGATAAAATCTGTATATATAGTTTTATTCAATGTTTAGTGTTCGCGTAAATTTAAGAACCTATTAGATTGTGATTGTTGTTATATATATACATATTATTTTTTAATAATTTCAAATAAAAATTGATCAACTTATTTACTTATCAATAATAAATAAATCGCAAATTTATCAATCATTTTTTTTCATTTATTCATCAGTTGGGTGTGGCAGAAGAAGCACGAGAGTAGAATAAATGCAGTAGAAATGCGGTCGCTAAGGAGTATGTTAGGGCTGAATCTGAGTGACAGGGTGAGAAACTGTGTGATAAAAGAAGAGTGTGGTTTGCAAGATGATGCGGTGACCAGGATTAAGAAAGGAATGCTTCGTGGTTTGGTCATGTAGAAAGAATGAATGCGGAAAGACTGACAAAGCAAATATATGTTGCAGAAGTGAATGGAAGAGTCGGAAACGGACGTCCTAGGCGGAAGTTTGTCGACCAAATTGGCGATATACTAAAAATGGGCCAAATTAAGAGTACCCTTAACCGACGAGCATGTATGCGTAGGTATATGGATGTGGAAGAGGCGAGAAAGGTATGTCAGGATCGTGCTAAATGGAAGTCTATAGTCTCTACCTACCCCTCTGGGTGACAGGCGTGAGTGTTTATGTTTTTTTATGTTTTTTTATCGATCAATGTCCCAACCCTGTCCCATCACTACGGTTCGGTTCATTCTAAGTGCAACCTTGAAATATCCAATCACAGTGCATTTGACACGTCCCCCGCAACTCATGCGTGGCACTAAATTTGGTGAAGTCGAAACAGAACAAATATTCGTTGATGCGGTATCTATTAGGAGGTAATCTGTGATCTTGACGCTCCTATTTCTGCTGCTTGATACCAGATGGCGCTAATAATCAGCCACCACATACCAGGCGCTAATTATAGCGCGCAACAATACCAAGGAGTGATCTTTCGTCTCCGCGCTCCATCCCTGCATGAAATTGGGACTGAGAGGGGTTGTTTTTTTACACAATGTTATTATAACAGAGAATTTGCATTTAAAATAAAAGTTTATCTGTTTTTTTAGTATTACATAAAACGATGCCTCAGTCGTTTCTCTGAAATTTTTTGCTATCTTTTTGATTATTCTACTTTAAATAATATCCGTAATTTGGTTTATTCATTTCTAATTTATTCTTTATACGTGGTAGAGCCATGATGCAGTTATATTATAGTCAACCAAATCTAAGAAATACATTTTGACAGCTGTCAGATTTATTGCACTAAGCATGCCGCCAACCAAAAAATGGGAACGTACAATATTCGATTATTAAAAAAATCGATATCGATTATTTAGAGTCGGTAATCATTTATAGTTTGGTTTGAATAATAACAGAATAAATTAAAAACGGATAATTTGAAACACAAGATTTATCAGTTAGTTCGTATTTATTGTAACTGATTATTTCTATAGGCACAATTATAAAAAAAAAATTAGATTGATACTAGATTAAAAATAAATTTATTCAATCACTTTCAGTTCAACTACTTGAGCTGTCGTTGTTTAGATTAATTATTATTTGATTTTCAATAATGCAGTCAAAATTAATGTCTCTAAAAGTCATCCATAATCTTTTTTTTGTTTTTTCTACTACTTTTGCCCAATGATCGTTTTTTGACATGGGCACATGCTTTAACGAATATAGAAGAAACAGTCCAAAAAGTTGAAGCCGAGTCACAAAATGACAAACACAAAATCATAAAATTACGCACAGTAAGCTCCCGAAATGGCGGGAGATTGAAATTACGTAGAGGTTTTTTTCAGCGCGGCCTTGTATATGAGTTTTTTTGCCTACACAAAGGACAATGGTGAAATAGTAGGTGATGGAGTTATTAAGCGTATACTTAAGTCACTATTATGATATCAATAATATAATTTACTCTAGAAAAAATAATCATACACAATTCAAAACTTAATTGACTAGTTGTTGCAGTTGTTACGATTCGTCAGTTAAGACAGACAAAGATCTTATATTATTATAACATACATCCGAGTTTGACGTGTATTTTATTCAGGAAACTCTTTTATATATATTAATGCGTTCTTTAAGGATCCCTCTATGCTAGTAACTACCCTATATAAACATATATGAAAATTATATTAACTAGTTGATGTTGTAACGATTTGCCAGTTAAGGCGTTTCATACCATACAGCCTAGTCTGATGTGTATTTTGTTTAAACTGGAATATCTCTGATTCCCGACTTCTTGCAGTAGTATGACCGAAGAAAAAAATGTTCAGGATTTTAAACCATATTTTTGCATATTTTGTATTTGTAGACTCAAGAAAAAAAGTCAACTTAAATTTATTTGGGAGTTCGCCATTGTCCTTTACATTGACAAAGTAAAAAAAAATAAACTTGTTTTATTCATGATTCATGTAATTTAATTTAAGGAATTATAAAACTAAAAATTTAATTAAATAAATAATACATTAAAAAAATTAATTATTCGATTATTTGAATATTTTAATGATTATTTGAACCTTTTTGCCGATTATTCGCATATCAATGAATTTTAATCATCCAAACACTACGGTAAGGCACATAGCGACATATCATTGAAACGACGTCAAGTAAAAAAGTTGATACTGGCTATTTTTTTAATATTTTGCTTTGTTTGAAAGATTCGAATTTAAATTAGTGATAAAAAACTAAACACGTTGTAATTAAATATAGATAACTTCATAGTTCTCCGGATTTAGGTTAGGTAAAGGGTTATTTTAAATCGTATGAGTACGCTTGTGCAAAGTTATTGCGGAATGATTAATGTGAAACGTCAAAAGATTAGATTTGGTTGACTATAGAAGTATAGTTGTAGCTCGAATTGGTTGACTCGACCGGGGAAGGACCACGCTCTCACAGAATACTAGCGTAAAATAGTAGCTTAATGCTGATGTGTTTCCTATTGTGAGTGTAGAGAACCGGAGACCCATTTTACTGGAATCGAGTCATTCCATCTTAGTCCTCACGGGTGACAACGCATCTGCATTTTGATTCGTAATCGGGGATAGATGTAGATGTCTATGGGCCACAGCAACCACTTACCATCAGGTGGACTGTGTGCTCGTTCGTCACCTTATTCTATAAAAAAACTATATTATAACTAATATTTCAGAAATTAACATTAAAATTTACATTTCACCTCACTCCTAAGTGGTGCCACACTAGTGGCAGAAAAAGCCATTGGATGACATGGATTCCTCCTTGATCCTCGCCGCCACTACATTGATAGACGTGTTCAGGAGTCCCATAGACCGAAATGACGGTAGGATTTTCTTAATTTTGGCATGGTGCAGTAAAAGAATATGTCAATGGTGATGTTGCAGCGTCTGGCGGCGGCGGCGGGTACATGTCGCGGGGCGGCGTGTTCGCGGCACGGCGGCCGTAGGGAAGCGCCGCGGCGCGGCGGCACTTCGCCCTCGCCGCCCCTCTCGCCGCGCCCCTCTCTGCGCGCCTCACTGCGCCCCCCGCTGCGCCCCTCGAGGCGCCCCTGACCGCGCCCCTCGCCGCGCACCCCACCGCGCCCCCCTCGCCGCCAGCTGACCGCTGCGACCCCGCCACTACATTGATAACTTTCAAATCGATGTCTCTGTCTCTTTTTACATATTCTCACCGTAATTTAATAAACATCAAATCTTTGGTGTCTTGCTTTTACTATAATTTACTGTAATATCTACAAATCCTGTTTTGTCGGGGCCACATTAAAACGATTAGGCGTAGGTTCGCGTTCTAGTGATTTATCTGGCCGAACGATTCGTTGACCGAAGGCAAATGTGAAATGGCTTTGCCGTTGAAAGTCTGCTCGTGTGGCCATAATTCGCATACGCGTTTCTATTACAATGAGCAGTAGATAAGAAACATTTGGTTGATCGCCGAAGTTCTTTTCGTTGTATCGTGATTGTGCGCCACGAATATTCGTCCGACATGGTGGCGCATTATACATAGCTTAATCCATATCAAGACGCATCACATTTTGTTCAGAATGTGCATTGTAATTTACCATTTGTATTAATTCTGCCACGCTCTCGTTAGAGATATGTGGAGTATAAACTTATATAAATTATCGTGTAAGTGCATAAAATGCTCAACTTCAATGTTATAATTATTACACAAAGTAGTGGAGTGCTATTCGGGGATTTAAACATTCTAGAAATATCCGAAGAGCAACTACGGACATTGTGAATTTGTACGTTCTAAAAATTGTTAATAATTATTATTAATTAAAGCGTGGAAATAGTTCTTTTATATCCTTAAAATGCGTGTGTAGTGGACAATATTATGTTACAAACTACTCTTATGAAGAGATGTAATAATATTCGGCACCAAACAAGGTAGCAAACGGTGGTTATGTATTTTATTTTAAATTAAAATCTAGTGTTCTGTCGTGTAACCAGCAGGATTTTGAAAAGACACTGTGTAAAAGAACTCAGGTGCTGTCTCGAATATTTGGTTATATATTATGATAGCTTAGTTTACTTTCACATCTGTAATGTGACTATTTCAACATAATTGTTTTGATATTTTATGTATGAGTGGTTTTTGTATAAAACCGATTCAGCGTCAACCAACATTGGCTTAATGCTGGATACATTTATAATATTTTGGCAACAGGGCATAGGGCCTTGAAAAATGCCCCGACATGAAAACGTCGTCAATTAAGCTTTAGTTTAATTAAAATACTTCAGTGGATGTTAATGTAATAAACTATTGAGACTTTCGTTTCGTTTCGACTCAATTCGTGCTTATTGAAACGCGAGTCCTGGTTCAAAAGAGTGATAATAATTGTAACTACCAATTACATGATTACTGTATGCTTTATCATTCTAAATCTAAACTATATTTTTTTACTTCTAAATTACATTTCATCTATTTCTACGTTGTTTCATATTTTAAAGTTATGTTTAAAATTGGAATTAATCGTACAAACTATAAAATTTTACTTAATTTTTTTAAAACTAACTGAAATAACAAAAGCTATAAGCGCGGGGTAAATAAATTAGCGTTTGGCATACTTTGAATATGCCACTACATTTAATAGAGCCACGCTAGTAAGACTCGGCTGCAGTAAGATCGTACTCGTACGTCATACCAATTTGAATTAGCATATATAGTTGGTAATTTGTTGTGTTTTGTTGGTTAGTTAAGAGATACCGATATAACTGAGAATGTGGCAACCGTTGTTTTGTTGTTGGCTAAGCATGTGCGTTTTGATTCTTTATCGTGGGTAGATCGAAAGTAACACAACAAGTTCACACACTTGAAGATTGATAAATCTAAAAACTTAGCAAGTTTTAACAGATCTTCACGCTTTGACGTTTAGACAGGCAAGCGAGCCAACATCTTAGTTTAGTTGGGCTGTTTTCATTCAACATCGCCGGTATTTTTATTGTAAATATTTTTTATACAAAATGAAGGTTTTTGTTAATTGTCATTTGACAGTCAGAAACATCGATTTGAAAACGTTCTACTGAATAAATAATAATTTATTACTTTTCACGATGCTGCGTACGTTTCAATAAGCAATGTTGTTGTGAACAAGTAAAGGCAGAGCTTTGTAAGTTTGTACAAAATTTTACATTTTACTAATACATCATGCAAAGTGCAGAACATAGAAAAATAAATGGTATAATAAACTAACAATGTTTTAGCAGAGTTGAGTAAATGTTTAACTTAGTAAATACTTTAGTATACTACTTTAACGAATCTCTCTCATTAAACACAATATTTGTAAATAATATTTTTTAATTTATTTAAACTTTATTACACTACTTATAATAAGGGATACAAAAGGGCGGAATTAATGCCTTATGGCATTTTCTACCAGTCAACCCCGCATGATTTAAGGTGTAAACAATCACAACAATTCAAATATTGTTTGCTTGGAAAAGTTATGTATAGAATGAAAAAAAAAATGTAGTAGGTACTTTTAGTTTATTTATGTCTGGCCTTTAAGGTCAATATTTTACGCAACGTCCAATATGTTGTCTTTAAAATTATTTAATTTAACCATATAATTTTTTTATCGCCACCAAAGCGAAACCTATTTTCGAAATTGCTTGAAAAAGTGTTTTGGTGGTGTCAATTTCCTATCTATGGTGATGACATTATTACTGTAATTGTCTAAGTTAGCCTTTATTCTATAATATTAACATTTGCGCAAGTGCTAACACTTGTGAGCTTGTGATCATTACGCAGTGTCGTGGATCTAATCTAGTTCACATTCTTAGGTGTTGAATTTTTAGTAAATCGTTTAAGTTCAAGGCATGTAACGCTCCGTTGATGTTATACATGTCTAGATTCTGCGTTGACTTGTAATAATGTTTATAAAAGGGCCCGAATCGCTCTGGTAGTATGTGTGAAAACACGGTGACGCCAACATTGTTAGTTGTATGCGTTTAGCTGTGTAGGGTACCCATTTCAAAGATTTTCCACAGTTTTTTTAAAGAATTAATTTCGTGTACTAGCAGCGCACTAAATGGGCACGATGAAGTTACCGGCCCATTGTTCTACGGTATTTTTCTCTCTTTTCGATCGCGTTTATCAATCTTGACATGTATATAAATAAAGGTAACATCCACATTATGTTATTTATGGTCGGTCTGTATGTAACCAGCATCGTAGAGTGTAGCTTGTATAGGTGTAAAATGTTGTATTTTAGCGCAAAGTGTGTAATATATTATTTATCGGTTTTCGCCGAGACATTGTTTAAAAGTTTTTATTTTTTATTTTAACTTGTGTATATAATAATATTTCATTGGAAAACAACAGGATCATAATATAATAAAATGTCAGCGTATCTTACCTTTTTTTTCGTGTTGTTAACCGGAACCAATACATAATGGAGGATCACTTATATAAGAGTATTTTTTTTTGTAGACTAGAAACGAAAACATGTATTATATTGAAACAACTAATCCGGCAACTTTTTGTAAATTTTAAATAAAATATTACCCTCTCAAAAAGAGGGGATGCTTGTGCATTGCAGTGTAATGCCAATATTTTGATTTTTAAAAGACTTCAAAATTAGGTTATTTTTTTATTTTTTAAGTAACACAATATCTCTGAGATTTATTACCTATCCAGTTTTGTCGATTTTTTTTGTATCGAGACTTGAGTACTTTTAGTGATTCTTTATAAATTTACACCAAACCCGATGATTATTAATGGAGTTATTATATATTTTGTGCCTTTAGCGGTTGGTGGTCGGATAATTTAAATCTGTTTAAATTAAAGTTACTAATATACACTACAATAAACGGTCTTCTCGAATAGCTTCCAAATCATTTGACATACATACCTACAAACATATGGTTAGGGCCAGAAAGGTGATCATAGATTATTCTGCTCTATGAACTTTCCTGGCACAATCCTGACACATATTTTTCGCTTTTTTTATAGGCGCGTATATGCTTGTCGGTTAAGAGTACTATTACTTATCTCCAATATGTCGCCAATTTGATTGATAAATTTCCGTCTAACGCGACCCTTGCCGACTCTGTCATTCACTTCTGCTGCATAAATTTGCTTTGTCATTCGTTCTATGTACGTGTTTAAACTGTCGAAGCATTCCTTTCTTGATCCTGGTCACAACATCTTGCAAATCATATTTTGCTCTTATCACAAAATTTCTCAGAGATACCCCTTACATCTTAATGATCGCACTTTTACAGCATTAATTTTGCTCATGCTTGATTCGAGTCGAAAAATGTATAGTTGAAATACATACTCATTATCCATATGTATGTAACTCTTAACATTAATGTTTCGTACCGGCTTAAGATAAGGGTCGAGAACATTGATATTGTGTTTTTATTTTATTGCACCATGACATGTTTTATGTAATAACTGTATGTGAGGGGTTCTTGGTATTGATGAATTGCTTTTAAAAAGATACTTGAAATATTGTGTTAAGGAAAAATATTAATATGGACAATACTGCTAAAATACTTTGGTTGTGGAACTACAAATGCTTAATAATTGGTAAAGAGGTTGATTCAGATTGCCAACTCATATTGGAGGTGTGTCTACTAGTAGATTTCGTCCAGAAAATATGTTTCCGTTTTCATTTCTATATTTCCGTATAGCTCTTAAATACCTTACTCGCTATTCAGCAATACTTGGCCTCTCAATTGAAACTTGTCCCTTAGATTTACAGTTTTTAAATAAATATCCTATCTTGTGTAAAAGCTGTCGTAAATGGGTAAAACCGCAGGTCACGATGCCATTTTCTTTGAAAACTGCAAACAGCTTACGAATAGTTGGAATTTTTTTATCACCAGTATAAATCTGATGAAATTTTCTCCGTATTATTTCCATGTCAAAATCATCAATGTGAATTCTCTTTTTTATTTCTTTAGGTATCCGCGGAGATGAAAATTATACAATTTC